TCCCCGCGGGTGCCGCGTGCCAGCGCGGGTGCCGCGCGTCGCGCGAGGCGCAGCCAGCGTGCTGCATCCTCTGATCCCCGCGGGTGCCGCCCGGGGCGGCCACAGCGTCAACCCGCGCGCCGCGCGCAAGCAGTGGCGAAGCGTCCTGGCTCGCCCATGGGCCCACCGAAGGTTGTGTTAAGAACTTGAGGTGGTCTGCGCGAAATGTTCCAAGAGCATGTCTGGCTGGGACTGTCTTGGGTCAGCACATATCGGGTCTATGTTCTAAGAACATTGTGTTTGTTCTGAGAGCTTGTTGGGTTCAAGAACATTGCGTGGCAGGCCTATAGGAATGCCAGGACCTTCGGTCCCGTCTTACCGCACGCAGCTGCGCACGGCAAGTGTCCAGGGGTGCAGCCGCCGGTCCGGCGGGCCCCGGGGTGGGGAGCTGCGGCTCCCGCGCGGCACGTCGTCTTTCGCGGGCCGCTTCTCGCGCAGGATGCTGCGCAGCGCGCGCACTTTTTGGGAAGTGCGGCGAGGAGGCCGCCAGAGCGAAGGGCAGCTCTGTGCTGCGCGCCAGAGCCGAGGGAACCATGCAGCCGGAGTCGAGAGTGGAGCTCTCCTCGCGGTGCGCCACGGCCCGTCCGCGGCATGCATGATGCAGTGTGCATTGTGTGACGGCACCAACTTGGGAGGCCGCATGAGAGGCGGACGCCAGCACCAATATCGGGCGGTGTGCCCCTGCCGATCATACTCGGGCTTCCGAGGTGCCCCACGCATGTCCGCCCGCGCCCACATCCAGCATCGTCTTCCCTGGGGGGGGGGGCCCCCCGTGTCGGTGCTGGTGCTCCTTCTCCAGGCCTCCAGCAGCTGCTGCTCCGCGCGTGCCCGTGTCAGGAGGGGAAAAAACACACAGACACAATTAATCCTCGATTCCCCAGAAATGTTGGAAAATATTGGAAGTGGGGGGGAAGACAGAGACCCGGAAAATATGGGAAAATATGGGGAATATTTTTATATGTGTGTATTTATTTGTGTGTCTTGGGGCCCCTTCACCGTGGCGCTGGCCGTGGCATGCTGGAGCACCGCCTCATCAGGCGCAAAAAATGCCGGAGAGGCCCCAGGGGCCTCTTGCTCGCCCGGTCGGACGCGGGGGCGGGCGCGCCTCGCCGTGCCGTCGCGGGGGGCGGCTCGCCCCCCAGGAGGGCCGTGTCGGACGAAGCGGGGCGGCAACGAGGGTTCAGTCGGGCATGGCGCTTTACAGGAGGAGTGTTAAGAACAAATTCAGAATCAGTCTGGGACGATGTTTCGTTTTTTTTTTTTGGTTGTAATACATATATATATATATATATATATATATATATATGTATGTATATATATATATACACATATTATTATTATTTTTTGTATGACCCGGACCCCCCCCAAACCCGTGGGTCAGGGAGCGTAGCGTTGGCATGAGAGCTTGAGTATGTTAGCCATCGCCGCCACGAAATTCGTGACATTTTTGTTGCGTCTTGCATTGGGGTGCGATGTATTTTCTCGGTGCTGACATCATTTGCTTCCTCTGTGTTGCATGACTTGTCATTTGCTTGCAGTGCGTTGGATCAGTTGCAAATGTTCCTGGAGAGGCCTCCGGGAACATCTCGGCGAGGGGCCGAAAATGAGCCCAACCGTTTTTAACTCCGTTTCGCGTGGTGCGGTGCGGGAAGCATTGCAAATCACGGCATTGGCCCAGGCCCGTAGCCACACATGTGATAATTTTTGGCCGGTGCCCTTTTTCGGCCCCAAGCGGCCTCCAAAAGGGCACCGATTTTTGATGGCCAGGGAACTCTGGCCGGTGACCTCCGACGGCCTCCGGCGACCTCAAAAAGGTCACCAGCGGCCGGGTCGCCAGCAGCAGCGCGACGCAAGTATTGTACATGCGTGCATGCTTGCGCCTCTCAGGGGAATGTGATGCGCCTCTACGCCCGCATGAACCCGGGAGGGAGGGACGTCATCCAAATGCAGTGCGACACTACGCCTGCATGCGGATGCCTCCCTGAAGTTTTGTGGCGCTGCCGATTGGCTCAAGTGCGCGGTGGAGGAAAAAACATCCCCTCTTCCGGTATGGGGGCTCGCGGCGGCCGACCCTCCCGTGGAGGCCGCAGCAGGGCGTCCCGTAATTGGGCCCTGGAGGTGAGGTTGGCCGAGATTGCCGACTACTTTCTCAAGGCCGTCCTCGGCTTGGCCCCGAGGCCCCATTGGGGGCCTCTCTGGCTGCCCCCAGCCTCCTGGGAGGAAGTTGTGGCCTACTTGAGGGCCGTCGCAGGGGCCCCAGGGGCTCCAGAAGCCGACCCAGAGTCGGAAATCATTGAAGATGACGCCGGAGGACAGTAGAGCCCTTTCAAGGGTTATGAGCCCAAGCGAAGGATTCTACCACCCTGCGCTTGGAGCTCCGCTCGCCCATGGATTCCCTGCAGCGCCGCTGCCGCCGCCGGCTGCGCTGATGCGTGCGCGGTGCAGGGCGTGCTCGGACGTCATCGTGGGCCCGTCGGTGGTGTGCGATATCTGAATCGCCGACGTCCACAGCCATTGTATGCAGCCTTGGCAGGGGCATGCAGTCTGCTTCGCCTGCTTCGCCTTCTTCGCCGACCGCGACATCGCGTGCGGTCGCCGGCAGGCCGCCTGGTCGAGCGGCCTCGCAGGGCAGCTTGGCCGCAGCGTGGCATTCGGCGCGCTTATCGCTGGCCAGGCAGTGGGTGCCACCCTCGGCACCGCAGCGACTGGGATGCAGCGCCTGGCGGTCGGCGCTGCCGTGGGAGCGCGCCAGACGTGGGCGGCGGGCGCGATGATGCCTGTGCCTGCTCAGCCGCAGCTTCCAGACCAGTCGCCGGCCACAGTTTGGAGAGTACTGGCAGGGCGGGCGCGCCCGACATGAGCCAGGACCAGCAGCGACCGCCAGCTGTTGCTATGGATTTGCACCTGGCGGAGTAGCGAGAGCTTCGCACGGGGGTGCAGCGCGTCAGCCGCAAGAGCCAGCAGCTGGAGGCAGAGCGGCTCGCCGACCGCGCATCGGCAGCAGCAGCCGCAGCCCAGGGTGGGGCATCAACGCAGGGGTATTGGACCCCGGTGCATGGGGGCCGCCAGGGCCCAGGCACGCCGCCCTCGCTGGCAAGCGGCGGAGCAGAAGCTAGTGCACAGCTTCCTGCTGGTGGGCGAGCGGCGCCGGAGGGCGCTCCACCACCATTGATGACTCGTGCGTCGGGCGCCGAGGCGACGAGCAGCGAGTGCGACGAGGCCGAGGAGCTGGCTCCGCCCGTCGCTGGGCTTGGCGATCCCGCGCACGACGCTGACCAAGTTGTTGCCGCGTCGGCCGGGGACCAAGCAGCGGTCGCACCGGGCAGAGGTCAGGTGCTTGACTTTGAGGTGGCAGCTGGCGCCCGCGGCGCGCCTCGAGCGTTGCAGCCCGGCGGAGTGCCACCTGGGCTGCCTCCGATGGGTGTTGGACCCAATGGGTGGCCAGGAGGGCCTCGAGAGGGACCTCCAGGAGCACCCGGAGGGGGGGGGGCATGATGGAGGTCTCAGGAGACTTCCTGTAGGTGGAGGTGGGTTCGGTGGCGATCCAGGGCGCGGCTGATGGATGCCCGCAGCAAGCGGCGCGCGCCCGCCACCGCCGCCGCTGCCGCCTGCCGGCTCGGCTTCAGCAGGGGCTGACAGCAGCGCCGAAGAGCTGCGTTTGGTCTGGGGACGGTGCTCCCGAATGTCAAGGGCGGTGGCGTGCCGAAGTTGACGTTCGCCGCCGGCGTGAACAAGGCTCACGCCTTCGAGGAGTGGGTGCAGCGAGCTGCCATGAGGATTGGGGCGAGGCATCCCCTCATCGACTTGTTCTGGCAGCGGTCGGAGCGCGCTGCGAGGGAGGGAAATGAGTATTACCTCAGTCGTGGTCCGTTCGAGCGTCCGCTCGTGATGCCGAATGCCGATTGGTTTGGCGCCGACCGCCATTGCCTCAGCATCGAGCTGCGGTTGCGCCCGCTGCTGTTGGATTCGTCCCCCGAGCAGGTGCAGAGCGGCGCGCTTGCCGCCCGACAGACTTCGGTCACCGAGCTCCTCTTCAGCGTCATGGTGGAGGCCGGGCCTGGCACCCGCCGAGATCGCAGTATGGTAGTGAGGGAGGTGGGGCGGCGCGACAACAAGGCCGCCGCCCTGGCCCAGTGCTATCAGGAGCTGAACTCGTGGAAGTTCTCGCTCGCGCGATTGCGGCGCCTTGGCGTGGTGGCGCCAGATCCCGTCGCGCAGCTTGAGACGCTGCGTGGCGTCGTGAAGGGCATGGCCGAGGCCGACGCGAACTTCCAGTGCAGGATGTTTGCTTGGGAGATGCAGCGCGGCATCTCAGGGTCCAGCCATTGTTCGCATCGGCAGGTGGGCGAGTTCTGGCGATACCTCGCCGCGGAGGCTCGCGAGCTCTGCGACGCGCCCCAGGGGAAGGCGTGAAGGCGCTGGCAGCCGCGTGGGGGGCGAAGGGTGCCAGGGTCGGGGGCGAGGAGGGGAATCCCGACGCAAAGGGCGGCAAGCCCGACGTCAAGGGCAAGGCGAAGGCCTATGCGAAGGCCAAGCCCCTTGCCAGGGCGGCGACGGGCGGCGAGGAGGCACGCCGCTTCTTCGACGGCGACGCGGGCTGCAAGTTCGGCGCAACTTGCGCTCGCCATCGCAGGAAGCTCGAGGTGGGCGAGGGCAAGTGCTTCAACTGCGGGTCCAAGGACCACGACAAAGCAGCGTGCCCTCGGCCGGAGCTTGCTGCCGCTGCTGTCGCTGGAGGCGTGTCGGCGGCGTCAGCCGCCCCCGCGACTGCCCTGGCCGCCGAGGTGCTGCATTTGGTCGTTCGGGATGCCGTGGCCGCGAGTGCGGCCCCCGTTCGCGCCGCGGCCCCGCCGCAGCAGCAGCCGGCCCTCCGCGTGATTCGCGTGGACTTGCACGCGGCACTCGCGCTCCGTGGAGGCTCTGGCCGCCGTCGGCTGCTGGCCGACACTGGTGCCACGCGT